GGGTGCTGAACCCTCAGCAGGGGCAGCCTCTGGAGTCCAGGCAGAGAAGAGCCCGAGGCAGAGCTGTGCTCCCCAGCCCCTCCCCGCCCACTCTCTGGGTCCACGCTGAGCCCAGCCCAGCCCGCTTAGCTGGGGGGTCCGGACAGTTTTGCTGAAAGGGTCGGAGAGCAAGTGCTGCAGGCTTGGCGGGCTGTGCGGTGTGCTTGGCGCTACTCAACTCTGATGCGTTTGCAAGCGGCTACACGGGCCTGGCCGTGCGCCAGCAAAACCTTACTTATAAAAAGTAGGCGGAGGCCCAAATTTGGCCCATGGACTGTCGTTGCTGACCCCAGCTGAGCTGATGGGGGGCTCAGTTCAGCAGATACACAGGCGCTGCGTGTAGAGGGCTCACACGCTCACGCGCTCACACTAACACACACTCACACTCACATGACCACTCACACACACACTCACACATGATCACGCACTCACACTAACACACACACTCACATAATCACTCACACTAACACACACACACTAACACACACACTCACATGATCACTCACACTAACACACACACTCACATGATCACTCACACTAACACACACTCACACTAACACACACTCACACTTACACACACTAACATACACACTCACATGATCACTCACACTAACACACTCACACTCACATGATCACTCACACTAACACACTCACACACACATGATCACGCACTCACACTAACACACACACATATGATCATGCACTCACACTAACACACACACTCACACATGATAATGCACTCACACTCACACATGATCATGCACTCACACTAACACACACTCACACTAACACACACACATATGATCACGCACTCACACTAACACACACACACTCACACATGATCACACACTCACACTAACACACACTCACACTAACACACACACTAACACACACTCACATGATCACTCACACTCACACACACTCACACATGATCACACACTCACACCAACACACACTCACACTAACACACACACTAACACACACTCACATGATCACTCACACTCACACACACTCACACATGATCACTCACACGGGGCACAGGGCTGGCCAGGAGTCCTGGGTGGTGGGGGTGCGGCCTGGGGAAGGGGGTGTGTGCCGTGTTCCAGAACCGGAAGGTGTTGCCCTCTCCTCCCACGTCAACAATACCGGAAGGGGAGCTGTCGCAATCGCAGGCAGGGAGGGAGGGAGGGAGGGCGTTCCCTCAGGCCGAAAGCAGATTGGGAGCTTCTGCGTTATTGTCGACAGCAAACCGCAGGCCAGGTAGCCGAAGTCTGTCTCCCGGAGTCCTGGAGATACGGCCACCTGGCCGGGCGGGCCAGACAGTCCGGGCCCTGATGCCAAGGCTGGCAGCAGCACCTGTGGCTGTGTGGAACGGGGGCTGGGAGCGTCGGGAGGCCACCCCACCTGCTCGTCCGGACCCTGGGACGGGCTGGGCCAGCGGCATGGGCGCGGGGCGGGCTGTGAAGTCCTGGTCAGGACCGGGCCGCCCCACCTTGCCCCTGCGCGGTGGACCCAGGGTGTCTTAGTTTTCCAGGTGGAGTCGCTGGTGGAACCGGCTGGCTGCTGCCTGCCGTGCCACGCAGGCACTAAGGGTGTGTTAGTGTGTGTGTGTTAGTGTGTGTGTTAGTGTGAGTGAGTGATCATGTGTGTGTTTGTGTGTGTTAGTGTGTGTGTTAGTGTGAGTGCGTGATCATGTGTGAGTGTGTGTGAGTGTGAGTGAGTGATCACGTGAGTGTGAGTCTTGAAAATTTACCTTGTTTTGTTATAACTGCTACCAAACAATGAAAACAATCGCTTCGCCCCGTGGGCTGGTGGCCGTCCCACCAGGCAGCCGAGCGCACTGCGGACAGCGGTGTGGTCGCCGGTGGCGCGGGGCCGCTCACCATTCCCGCCGGCTGGACCACGCGGTCCAGACGCGCAGTCGTGACGTCCAGGCCAGGGCCGGCCATCACGCTGCACGGAATCCCCTTTTGCAGGCGGCAGCCTGGTCCCAGAGAAGGGCGGTGGCCTGAAACCGCAGCCTCGGCTGGAGGGGCCCCGGGGTGGCGGGGCGGCCGTGTTACACGCAGCTTGGCCTCGGGGGGGTGCGGGTGAGGTCCAGCCGCAGCTGCCCCCTCCAGGTCACCATCTGAGGGGCCGGGGCTGGTCCCTGCTGGGTGAGGGTCACGTGGAACCGGTGACCCGGTGAGAAGCTACCTCCCGACAGGACACCGTGTCCCGGGCACGGGTTTTGCTGAGCCCTGAGAGTTGCCACCAGCCAGTGCTGTGACCTCATCCCTCGAACAGCTGCCCCTCCCCCACACGCTTGGTGCCGCTCCCCGCCGGGCGCAGAGACCCAGCGCCCAGGACACAACGGGCCGCTTGGGAAACGCCTGCGCGCACAGCAGCCGGTGCGAGGCCAGGAGGCCGGCCGGAGGGAGGCGGGACTGCACCTGGGCCCTTGTCTATGGAGTGAAGTCCTGAGCCAGAGGTCGCGGGCAGATGTCAGGGGCAAGAGACACCGGCTTCTGTGGTTCGTCATGGCAGGGTGACGCGGTTGAGCGATTCGGCAGCAGCTCCTTCCCACACCCCTGCGCGCCAGCCCCCGCCGCGAGGCCTTCACCATCCCAGTGGGCGAGTGATCGGTCGCAGTGGCGTGCCTGGACCAGTGTCCCCTCGGCGAAGCGGGGATGAGCCCACGCGTGCCCGTCACTGAGTCTCTGGGCCCGGGTCACAGCCCCCGGGGCCCCCACGAGCCTGGGAGCCTCCCCCGCCCCCCGCCAGGACGGCGTCCCTCTCCCCTCTGCAGAGACCGCAGGACCCTCGCTGGGAAGGGAACTTGCCGACGACAGAGCTGTCCGGGCAGGTGTGGCCGCAGGCTCCGCCGGTTGTCCCTTGGCCGCCCACCCCCGCCTGCGTTGCGGGTCCTGCGCCGCGCAGATCTCGGGGAGATGGGCTGCTGTGGGCCGGACCGCAGCCCTTCCCCCCCGGCATACGTGTTGTCTTATCCTAACCCCTGGAACCTGCGACCGTGACCTCAACGTGGGGTCTCTGCACACGTGGCCAAGTCACGATGAGGCCATGGCGGATGAGGGCGGCCCTGACCCAGTGGCTGGCGTCGCGAGTGAAAGGAAAGGTGGACGCAGACACTGGGACAGACGCACAAACGCCACGTGATGGCAGAGACCGGGACGGGCCAGGCAGACACAGCCAGGACACCGGGGTCCCCGCGGCCAGGCCAGGCTGGAGGAGGGAGGAAGGAGCGTGGCCCTGCCGCTGCTCAGCTTTGGACTCTGGCTCCCGGGACTGTGAGAGCAGAAGTTTCTGTCATTTGAAGCACCTGCTTTGTGGCCGTTTGTTGATCCGTCCCAGGCGGCTGAGAGTACGTCCGTGAGCTCCGAGTGCCTGGAAGGGACTGACAGGTTTTGTCACCGAGGCCTGTAGGTGTCGACCGCTGCAGTGCGCGGGCCACGGGGCTGCTGCCCTCCGCACCAGGGGCCCTCTCCCTCCAGGGGCTCCAGCTCCACTCTGGTCCCAGCCCTGGCCCCTCTGCAGGTCGCCACGTGACTTTCCCAGCCTCCCCTGTTCTTTCTGTCTGACGCCTCCTAACACTGCTGGAGCCGATTTGGCAAACGCACACAGTGGGAAACGATTCTTTGTCCGCAAACCCTCAGCAGGGCACACGGTTCTGACAAACAACCAGGCGCAGTATCAGGCTCAAACCATGACCGGAATGCATGGCATCCGGGGGGCGGAGGCTGAGTGGCCTCGTGGAATCGCAGGGGGTGCCCGCCACACCCAGCCCTGCCTCTGAGAGCCACTGCAGCTCCGGCCGGCAGGTTTGGAAAGCCCTTTGCGGCCTCCGTTGGTGGCCCAGACGGCTTCACCAGGGTCCCCCAGACAGCTGCTCCCGGGGCCCCTCACTGGGCATCCCCAACCGGGGTTCTGCCCGTCGGGTGGGGGTGTCCTCTCCCTCACCTGCCTCTCGGGGTTTTTCAGGCTCAGCAGCCACGATGTGCGAGAAGACCCTCGGGAAACCAGAGCCGTGGATGACTCGGTCCCGCGCTGGTGAGAACACGCTGGGCTCTGCCATTCGCAGGAATTTCCCCGGGAAAATCTGTTCCCGGGATTGAGATTGCTTGAGATTTGCTTTCTAAACTGAATTTTTTGTCAATTTCAAAAACAATTTTACAAACACCAAAATACATTTTTTAAAAAGTTAAATGCCTCGAACACCTCTGTTTACACGAGCCGGCTGCTACAAAGGTGGACGTTCCCTTTCTCTGTTCATTTTGCCGCATTTCTGTCTTGTCACTGAAGTCACTGCATGGATGCTGGGGTTTGAGCAGAGTCCACACTGCACACTCTCGGGCCCTGAGGAGGCAGCAGGGAGAACAGATGGCGCCTCGTGCTGCACCGCTGGTCCCTCCTGTTCCAGAAAGTTCCACAGGTGAGAACCAGAGCTAGGGCTTCGGGCAGGGCCTGCCGGGCCTCTGTCCTGCCTCCGCGTCACTCCTGGCCACGTCCCTGAGAGACTCCTCAGTGCCCTGCCGGGAGGATGACGGCCCCACCGCAGCGGCACACGTCTGACGTGCTCACCGGCGGGGAGCCAGGGAGGCCGGGGGCCTTAGGGGACCCACAGGACAGGAGGGCTCAGGGGACCCAGGTCTGAGGTCAGAGGTCACCAGACTCCAAAAGCCTGTGGTCAGGCCCCCCCCACCCCGGGAGCCGCCAGGCGGGGACTGGACAGAGGAGGTGAGGGGACAATGCCCAGGTCTCCAGGGAAACAGCGACACCTAGCGGCAAGATTGCACCCCACCCCAGCAGCACAAACAGTGTCCTTCTTCCTGATGGCACAAGTGACAGTCAGGATGTCCAGGGGGCCGAGGGGACCCACGCTGGCCCTGCCCCTGCCCAGCACAGGCTCGGCCTGCGGCTCGTGGGCGCAGACTCTGTGGTCTGGTATGTGAGCCGTGGACACTGCTGGACCCCAGGCCTCTTCCCCGAGCAATCCCTAATGTTTGAGCACCGCTACGCACCGTTGAGGCTGGAGCTGGGAGCAGGGAGGCCCCTGTCCACTGCTCTGCCATCTGGGGAATTTCCGCCTTAGCTGACGCTGAAGATGCCTTGGAAGGTCACCTGGGCGAAGCACTCAGACCGTAGCGCACAGCCGTGCTCCCCACACCTTAACACGCAGGAGTGCTCCCCACCGCTCGGACTTGATCGGCGGCGTCATTCAGTTCGGGCGCCCGTCTGTCTGTGTGACGTGTCCTCCAGACTCTGTCTCAGCAGGGTGGGTGCTTCCTGCCACGTGGCACTGGGCCCCTTGGATGATGCTGATGGGTGGGGGGTGGGGGTGCCGGGGGATCGCAGGCCCCTCTGTGCTGTGGAACGAGGTTCCAGGGGCAGGTGGGGAGCCCGAGACGCGTGAACAGACGGGTTGCTGGTGACGGGTCTGGCACTCAGAGGCGTGGGCTGAGCGACGGAGGTTTCTGGATTGGGCGAGCCCCTCGACGGATGCAACCCCAGGCCCAGCGGGGAGCTGGGGAGACGGCAGAGACGTGCGCCCGGAGCCACACCCTCGGGTTTCCGCAGAAGCAGGCTGGGCTCCCGTTACCTGCGCACAGGAAGGCCTCGGTCCACACTTTGCCTCAGTTTACTGCCAGCTGAAGAAGGACAAGGTTCACGACTTTGGAAAGGAGAGCTCTGTTTGCCATAAAGGCTTGCGGCCTGTCTCGGGCGGAGGAGAGCAAACGCTTCCAGGGAGGGCAGAGGGATCGGGGTTTGTGCTGAGCAGGCGCAGGAACATACACATTTAATACGCTGCAGGAGGAGTCACGGACGTTCATGGGACCAGAAACATGCACATGCGTGGCTCGAGGGTGGAATTTTCGGCCCTCTGATGTCTAACGGTGAAGCAGAGGCACGAAGCCCTCCCTGCACGTCCTCTGCAGGCCGGACGAACCGCCCCGTGGTCCGGGGTCTCTTATCAGGAAGGGATGCCGGGCAGTCGTGTCAAAACCGCAAACGGGGCTGGGTGCGGTGGCCCACGCCTGTGATCCCAGCACTCTGGGAGGCCAGGGCGGGAGGCTCCTTTGAGCTCAGGAGTTCAAACCAGCCTGAGCAAGAGCGAGACCCCGCCTCTACTAAAAATAGAAAAATGAGTGGAGCATGGTGGTGCGCGCCTGTAACCCCAGCTACTTGGGAGGCTGAGGCAGGAGGATTGCTTGAGCCCAGGAGTTTGAGGCTGCTGTGAGCTAGGCTGATGCCACAGCACTGCACTCTAGCCGGGGTGACGGAAGCAGCCCGCAGAAGGGAGGAGCAGCACTAGGGGTTCGCTGAAGTCAGCGTGGCACGCGTCTCCCGGGGCTGGTTCTGTTTGGCCCTCAGGGAAGGAGCCTGGCGGGGCCAGTGAGGGAGGGGCTGGAACCAGGCGTGTCTGACCTCCCGTCTGGTCACGGCCGGGGTTTCGGTTTTTAAGGTTACTCTGGGTTCCCTTGGACAAGAAGGAATCACTCAGTTAGTTGGGGGGCTCAGGGCTTCATTTTTATTTCTCATTCCCCACCAGGAAGGGACGTCATGACATGAGGCGCCCATTTGGACGTGGCCTCAGACCTACCAAGGGTCTCTGCGCCTCTGGCCCAGAGGCGGAAACCCAGCCCGTCGCGGCAGCGCCTGGACACGGTACCTGGCTCCGGCGGTCCCGGCGATGCCCGCGGTGCTGCGAGGCCCCGGCTGGAGCTCTCTGCAGGGCTGTGGTCGCCGCTGTCCCGGCCACCGCGGCCACCTCGCTGGCCGCCTCTCTCGGAATCTCTCACCAGCCCCCGTACAACCTCCTGTCCTGGGAGCCTCACTTTCCCGGGGTCTGGGCTTTGATCCTGAGGGAAACGAAAATGTTTCGCCCCAAAATATCCTTTTCTGACATACTTCGAGCTGCCGTCCAGAGGGCAGGCAGACGGGAGTCGCTTTGCAAAGCTGTCTCTGCGGGACTCTGCCTCGCACCGAATGTGCCTCCGCGCTGCCGGGCACTCCCCGGGCTCTCCCGTGTCCAGATGGGCGCGAGATGGGCTAGGGGTCGGACACGTTTACACGTCTGAGGGAACATTCGATCTCTCTGATGGCTGCTCCCCGTGAGGTTCAGCCACACGACGAGGCCCCCTTTGCCGGCCAGGCCCCTCCTCCCCTCCTGACCTGTCTTGCCACTGTCACCTGGCCCAGCCGCACGCCCGGCCTTCCTGGGCATTCTGTCTGTGACCTCGAGGTGGAGTGAAAGCCTCAACCATCCCGTCTTTCTTTGAGTTCTTATGTTTTACGTGACTTCCGTGCATGTTAATAGATTTCTATGCCTTTTCCCCTGTGGCGCTGCCTTTTGTCGCCTGATTTTTCAGGGAACCTTCAGAGAGGGAAGCGGAAATCTTCTCTTTGCCCCGACAACCGCACGAGGCTTGGAGCCACAGCCCCGCCTGTCCTGGTGGGGAGGAGATGCTCTGAGGAGGCCACCCAGGGCAGGCGACTGCCCTTCCTCAGGACGCAGGCCCAGTCCTTTGCCGAGGCCCAGCTCAGACCTCACCCTGTGGGGCTGGAATTCCCGAGGGCCAGCTCTCAGCCCTCGTCGCCCCCCGGACTCCGTCCTGTCCTGGTGAGGGTCCAGGGAATGTCCTGTCCCCCCCGGGGCTGCCCCCAGACCTGGGCCTGTGGGTGGAGAGGCCTTCTGAGGCCGCCGGAGGCTGCAGAGAGGCCGGCACCCCTGAGAGCAGCTCCTGTTTTCTGGCCCGTCCAGAGCACAGGTCACAGGGGCCTCCTGGGGACAGACGGGGCACCCCACCCCTGCCAGCTCTATCTTGTCAACCTGGAGTAATCAGAAGGATCAGCATCTAGTTTCATGAGTTTATTCAAGTGCGAAGTCTGAGGGTCGCCGCCCAGAAGCACCAGCTCCAAGGAGAGGAGTCAGCTCTGGGGGAGGAGTTTTCACTCGCTCGGGGAAGAGACGTGAGTCTGAGCAGGGTGACACCTTCCACACAGCACCGGCGCGCCCTTACGGCAGTTGGCGGCTAACGGGCAGCGTTTCTGGGGGGAGGCACCTCGAACGTGTCTTACCGAGGGTGAGACAGTCTCGGGGCTTCTGTCATCGGTCTAAGCAAAGCAGGACGGAGGGAAGCAAACCCGTAGCAGGCGCCGCTGATGAAGAAGGCAGGAGGTTTCGTTCCTGACATCACTAATTCTCTCTAGTCGTTGCACAGAACAAGAAAAATAAGAAATTAAGTTAATCCATAATCCGAGAAATAGAGGTTGTAACATGGAGATTCAGGTCCCAGCCACAGCCCTCTCCGGGCTCAGGGCGTTTTGGTTCCAACGGCTTTGAGACATTTACTCTCACAGTCTGGGAAGGGCTGACATCAAAAGCCCGGATGGGAATTGGGGCTCCTGCACGTTCTAGAAGCCCCGGGGGCAGTGAGTGGGCCCTGGGGGTGCCCTGTCCTTGGCACTTCCAGGAACTCAACTCAGCCAGTCCTTGCGGCCCCTGGAGACATGCTGCTGTTATTCCCCGTTTACAGAGGAGGAAACCGAGGCAAGGAGTGGCGTGACCTGCCCAAGGGCACCTCCCCTAAACGGAGAGGGGCACAGGGGGAGGCTGGCCTGGAGGGGACGGGGCCACCGCCTGGACACCGGCCACCTGAGCACGTGTGTTGACGGGGCTCGGCCGCGACGGGCCCCCACGCTCAGCCCAGGTGGGTCTGCCGGGAAGCTAGCGTCCAGGCCCGGGGGCAGGTGTCCTCTGGCCGCAGCGGGGTCCCATGGGCCCAGGCAGGTCCGGCTGCTCCCTCTGTCCCCCCTCCCCCGACCGCCGGGATGGGGCCGGGTGCTGCAGCCCGTGGGGAGCACTCGCCTACCTTCCGTGTCATCCCCGTCATGTCCAGGTGCATCTTGGTGCCGCCTCTTTTCTCCCAAAACGTGGCACTGGGGCGGCTGCTCGGGGCCCTCCTGGCCGGTGTGCTCAGACCACCGTCCCTCGCTGACCCGGCCGAGGGAACTCCCTCTCCCCCTCCGTGTGTCCCCGACCCAGCTCCCCCAGTGCCAGGACGTCCCCCTCCCCCTCCACGTCCCCTGTTCTCGCCCAGCGACTGCGCCTGGGAGGGAGGGTGGCGCTCAGCGTGGCCGACCCTCACCTTCTCACTCGATGTCGCCCGTGGAGGCTTGCGAACCACAACGCCGCGGCGTTTGGACTGGCCTCCTGGCTCCCTCTCACGTCCTCTTGAATAACACGAAAAAGGAATCGATCCCACAGTCCGTCCCCCAAGGTCAACATCTCTTCTGCCAAGATCTCAGGAAAGATTTAATTTCAGCCACTTCTGCTGCCAGTTTTGTCTCTGCAGCGTCATCTTCTGACCGAGTCCGGATCAAACCCTTTGGGTTCGCAGAACCCAAGACCCTCCCATGGAGCTCGGAGGCAGAAGGGGCCAGAGATCATGGCCTCTAAAAGACTCCCCAGTTTACAGACCGGGAAACCGAGGCCAGAGAGAGGGAGCCCTTCCCAGAGCCACCAGCAAGTGTCCGGCAGAGCTGGGAGCCCCCTCCTGCCAGGCAGGAGCCCCCAGGTGGGCTGCAGGGAAAGTCACTCTCTGGTGTCCCAGGGGCTGGGCCCACAGAAGGGCTTCGGGGCAGGGGAGGGAGAACTCAGGCAGACACACCCCCCTGCCCCAGGGAGGTGCTGGACGAAGTTCTGATCTGCGGCTCCACCTCAGGCCAAGCGTCAGAAACTCTGGGACACGTTCAATAACACGATGGCTGGTCCCAGGTACCACAGGTGCTCAGCCGCCTCTCGAAACCTCTGGCCACTCTGTTCCCCAGTTCCACGCGGAGGGCCGAGGCTCTGGGAGCAGGTGCCGTGTCCAGCCCGGCCCCCAGCGCCTTCCTCCCCAACTGCCCGATGGAGCCCGGCACCTGCAGCACCAGGCGCCCCGGAGAGCCAGGAGCCCGGGCCGGACTCCAGGTGCGGGTCCGCGTGCCCCGGCTCCGGGCTGACTCCGAGTTGCCCTGCGCAGTCACCGGGTCATTGAATCGGCATCGAGCTGCAGCAGGCGGGCCTGGGCGCCGAGGGGCCGCCTTGGTCTGGGTTAGTTGTAAGCCTGGCCCGCCTGCCTGCTGCCTCCGGTCACCGCAGGTGCCTGGGCCCTGCCCACCGGG